GGCCGCCACAGCCCCAGCTGGCTCCCAGACCCGCGCCGTGCCTGGCAGTCACCCTCGGGAAGGGCGACCTCCTTTAATCTTAATTAGACTTAAAGCAAATCCATTGTTATTCATATTCAAATGAGGAATGATTTTTTTTCTTGTGCTAATAACGCAGGCAGGCTGTGCACTCGGTTGTTTGGCATTTGTGCCTGTCAAAGCGAGGAAGAGTAGTCAGACTGGAGGGAAGGGGCACGCTTCCCCAGCCCATCTGGTGAGACACGGGGGATCCTGTTAATGCCTCTGCCGTGTCATCAGCTGGACACCGTGTCATTAGCTGGACACGCGCAGCGTCTTTTGCCTCTCTCCTTCTCAGGAGAGCTTCGGAGACAGACATGCTGATGGCTGGGAGGCACTGGAGAGTTCTTGCCTCTTCCTCCAGTTTCAAGAGAGTATGGCAGTAGCCACGTCTCGTGTTTTCATGTCTGAGCACTGAAAACAAGGGCGTGGGGCGTTAGCCTGGCATTGCAGACCTTTCTGCAAGCCTGTGGTGCCAGACTGCTTGAAGGTCTGCAGCTGAAACTCTGGGAGAGCAGTGGGGCACCTGCATTTCAGATGCAGAAGGGATAGTGGATTTCCTGGGTTTGGGCTGTTTGCAGAGCTCCCAGCATGTAGAAGTGGGGCCGCGTCTCTGTGTGATTTGCCCCTCACGTTCCTTGTTTGCAGAAAGCTTTCGACTATGGGTACAAGGTCTGAGAGTCGCTTGGGCTGGCTGGGTCTTTCAGCCTTGCTTGTGTTATGGTCCCATCTCATTTGAAAGCAGGATGCTGAGAGAGAGGGGTGGCAGGTCGTGTTGCCTCTTCTGTCATAGTAATGCAGGGGCTGTGGCAAGTGTCAGGTGCATTTGCCTCCCCCTGTGCCTTGGGGGGGGGGTGTATTTTTTGTCCTTGCTTTCTCACTCCCTTGCTATCTACTTGCAGATCTTCATACGTGCCTGCGTGATCGTTGACTATGGCAAGCTTCCTGCTGGCAAAACCCTCCTGAGGAACTTGCATAAAGACTACAGCAACGTGCAGTTCAACTTTGATGCCAAGAACGCACACTGCGTAGTCAAGGGACCATTCACTGAGCTGCAGGCCTTCAGCAGAGACCTGCTGGCCAGCCTGAACCTCAAGAGCCAACCTGTTGGAGAGATCCTCCAGCCAGGTTCCAGCCATGTGGCCAAAGAGACCAGAATGCGTGATCACCAGCAAGTGCCTGACGCCACTGAGACAGCACAAGAGAGGGCAAAAGTGCCGAATTGGGACCAGGTGTGTGAAAAGGCAGCTAAAGTCCCATCACCTCGGGGCCCAGTGGATGGGGAAGCTGTGGAACAGCTGGAGGACTTTTACCTAGTGATGGACTCAGACATTTACTTGTACATGCAGAGGTTCTGTGCTGCCGAGTACCAAGGTGTGCTACGCCAGCATCGTGTGGATGTGGTGGACGTTAGCAGCGATGGCATCGCCATACTGTACCTCCAACCATCTGCAGGTGTGTCTGGGGATATGGACGCCTTGCGGCAGGCCCGTCTGGCCCTGCAGCAGCTTTACCAGCAGCTGGAGGTGAGCTTGCGCAAGGAGAAGATCACCAAGGGAGGCCTGGATATGGACAGCCAAGCACTCCGGGCTCTGACACATGAGCTGCAGGAACTGTATCCCCAGTTGCTCTGCCACGAGGATGAGAAGCAGCTTTATCTTATTGGAAACCTTGTTGACGTCTCCCAGGCCAAGCAGTTCCTTCAGGATTTCAGCGCCAAAAGAGGTGCTGCACGCACGGCTGGCACAGTCAGCAGCTCCCTGCCCTCACACCCAGCAACCTCCCACGCCACAGAGACTGCACTGCACAAGCCCAAAGCTCCTGTGGATGCCTCAGCCTCAAGGCTGAGCCCAGGCAGGCTGGAGTCAAAAAGTGAGCTCAAGCTCGCTCCCAACTTCAGCAGTCTGAAAGTTGACAGGTCTCAGGCCAGCCGGGGCCTCTTGCTGAATCAGGACTCTTCTCCGCTGGGACAGGCACAGCTTTCCGGACAGCACTTACCAGAGGTAGATGCTCTGGGTCCAAGTGACCCAACAGCACTGACCCAGCAGTACCAACCTCATGGCTCTACAAAAGATATGGGTTTGGGGTCAGCAGCAGATTCTCAGCAGAAGGACCCCAAAGAATGGGACCATGCAAAAGGAGGTGCCAGGCTTATGAGACACAAGGCTCTGTCTCCTTTTGGGGGCAAAGAAAACAGCACTTTGCAGCATCCTGGGGACTCGAAGGACTCAGGCTCCGTCAAGCACCACCCACTCACTAGCACGTCAGGTACCTTTGACGTGACAAGGATCTCTTCTGCTTTAGACTCTAAACCCTCTGAATCCAGGCCTCTGCTGCGACGTTCCAGCAGCTTCTCCCTGCCGAGGTCCAAGGAGAGCGATAAGCCCCAAGACGCTGGCAGGGCAGGCAGCGGAGGCGGTAGGGTGAGTGCAGAAATGAGCCTGGACTCTCTGCAGTGGTCTTACCTGAAAGACGTTTGCCGCTCGGTTATTGATGAACTGTGCAGGGATGGAGGCGTGCAGATCTCAGAGCATCGTACTGGGGACTGCACGGTGCTGACGCTACAGGCGGTGGACAGGAGCAAGCTCTTCCAGGCTAAATGGAAGGTGGAAGCTCTTGTGCAGAAGTGTCCAGACCTTGTGTGTCAGAGTATGAGCTACTCGGAGCTTGCTGTAGATGGTCCGGATGACAGCGCCCTGAGTGAACTGTGCAGCCTCTTGCGAGGAAATGCCCTCCAGGTTGGACTCAGCAAAGACAAGTACAAGCTATACCTTGCCTGCCCCAAGGAGATGCTGTCAGGCGTGACCGAGGCCTTCCACGTGTTTTCTTCCAGGAGGCTCCGTGCCCTGAAGTCTTCATCCTTGTCTTCAGGACCAGAGAGTACAGGGCACTCCAGTGTCATCCAGCCGAGCAGAAGCCAGGACACGGTGCTGGATGCAGCCCTTCCTGTCAGCCTGGAGTCCCTACAGATGGGCCTGCAGCACCTGAGTATTAGCAATAAAGCAGAACACACAGTTGTGCTTGGGGCTTGCCAGCTGCCAGAGGCTGAGGAAAAGAGATCCCCCAGTCCTTGGAGATTCCAGCAGGCGCTGGGGCAGGAGGAGGCCAATGGCCATGTTGATTCTGGGGCTGTGCAAGGAGGAAGCAGCCTTTTCAGCCCTAGTGTAGTGGATAAGCCAAGTCCTGCTGGTCTGAGGGAGTCCCCGGAGCAGCCAAAGACAAAACTGTCTGTGGGGGAGCCTGACATTGCGCGGCTAAAGCAGGTTTTGCCAGACAGATTCCAGTTTGCAAGAGACAAGAGCAGAGGAGGCCACCATGAAGCAATGGGACAGCTGCGGTCACCGGTTCCTGCAGCAGACGGTGCTCCTCACTCCCTGCCCACCTGGCTGTATGGGGCTATGGCTGCTGAGCCACCTCAGGCTGCAGCAGAACAGTCACCTGCAGCAGAGCCCAGGGGCCAGGAACGAGCCCTGCTCCCAGTGGGTCGGAGCAATGTGCAGGAGGAGCCTGACCTCTCATCACAGCAGACAAGAGGCCCCAGCCTTGGACAGGAAAGCAGCAAGACCCCTCTGGGCCAGTGTGATGCTTGCCAAGGCTCAGGTGTGACCTGCCAGGCCCCTTGTGGTCATGCCTTGTGCAGGGCATGTTTTGCAGCGGACAGTATGCAGCCAGCTTGCTGCAGCTCCTCCTCGGTTGCCCCCAGCCGCAAGATCTCAGGGACATTCAAGATCTCCTCTCTGTCTCAGAATCTGCCTGGCTACTATCGAGACCCAACACTCCAGGTTGCCTACAACATCCCTGATGGCGTGCAAGGGGTAGGTACCCACCACGGGGGCTTCCCCATGCAGGACATGCAACGAGTTCTGTCAGGGTGGCTGGGGGGGGGACTGGGGGCAGCTACCGCTCCATGCCCCACATGCAAAGCAGCAGAGGTATTGTCCCATGGAAGGCAAAAAGCTCCACACTAGGTTTGGGAGCAGCTTGCTGCTTTTGAAGAGCGTGTGACCTCTGGTTTTAGTGCAGTTGGTGTATTTTTAAGCTGGACAGAATCTCAGAAGCTAGCTCTGAGGCACAGCACTCGGGTGGTTGTTTAAAATGCTTTCTTCCTGTTCCAAGGTTGGTGACCCCCGCCCAGGACAGCCTTACAAAGGGGGGAATTTCTGTGCCTTCCTGCCTGACAACAGGGAAGGGCAGAAGACAGCAATGCTGCTGAAGAAAGCATTTGAACATGGGCTGACATTCCAGATCAAGTCCTGCAATGGAGAGGCAAGAGTGACATGGGGCCTTATCCCACACAAAACCTCCTGGGATGGAGGCAAAGCCAGGTATGGCCCAGCTCATCCCAAGCTTCCAGGTGAGAGGGGTTTTTTTTAGCAATGGGAGGAGAAGAACCATGGGCTCCAGCTCAACAAATGGGTGGCTTTTCCACTCTCCCACAAGGGCAGAGTTGGTGCCTCCCTTTGCTTCAGCTTGCAGGGCAGCCATGGTGTGGCAGACCAGCCCTGGCACCCTCCAGCTAAAGCTAAAGCCCTTACCCATCCCACACCAGGAAGTTCCCCATGAACAGGAATTCTGGGCCCTGTTCGTTCACAGCTTTCCTGGCTTTTCCCATGACAATGCTCTGCAGCCAGCTCTGGGTGCAAGCTGTGCC